TACACAGGAAATGTAGTAAAAAATTATAAATGAAAATTATTAAATTTATTACAATTTAATTAAAAAAATATATATAAATAATTTAATATTAATATTTAATTAATTTTTTTACACTGTTTTTTTATTATTAGATATTATCGCACTGGAGTGGAAATGGTCAGATTAGCAGACATGCATATGCGAGATGGCAGCTATGAGAACGCTTTTGTACTATATATGAAGTTTATAACGTAGGTAATAATTAAATATGAGCAATCAATCTCATTCCTTTACTTTTCTTTTTTTATGAAATTATTAATAAATTATTAAATATTAGTAATAATATATGTATATATACTATTCAAAACATTATATTACCAAATATTAAATATAATAAGCATTACACTAATTCTAAGTGATTTGTGTTGTGATAGGCTTTTTGTAGACAAAATTAGAAACCATCCACAATATCGCAGTATACCAACCAAGGATAAGACGATGAATAAGCACACTTTAAGAACTGTCATTCCTAAAACCGAAGAATTGAAAAAACAGTTGCTGGAGCAATATCAAACAGAGTTGGACAAGTATTTGGAAGATTTGAAAGAGAGAGAAAAAATCGAAAAGGAACGTTTGAGACAAGAAGAGCTTCAAAGGTATACATTTTTATTTATTTTTTATATATCAATTAAAATTATAACTTAATAAATAGAAATGGCAATTAGGAGCCAGCGCAGATATGAGGCGCAAATAATTATTTATTCAGAACATCGATAATAAAAACGCGAACGTTTCGGTCCTTTCTTTGGACCATCTTCAGCGCATAAAAAAGTAAGAAATAAATAAGTAAAGAGGTGGTGAGAATCGGTATTCAAAAAACTAAAAACGATCAAACTTACAAACATACATCGGAACGTATGAATAATAAATAAATAATAAGACTGTTATTATGATCAAAGTAAATAAATAAAAAACTGTCATTATAGTAAAATTCGAAAACGTTAACCAGGAAAACCATCGATGCCCGTAATCTACTGGACGTGTCCCTCCATGGTTGGATGACCGTGGAATAGGACACAAGATAGGATGTAATCCATTATTAAAGTCCAAAATTGTGGCAATAAAGCTCAAGTCGATATCTAGAACGGTTAATATTTAGAGCAACACACAATCCAATAGATAAGAACATTCTATTTATTAAGTTAAATTTTTTGGACCCTTTATATTTTATTATTTTTTATTGTATTATAATTAAAATTATTATATACAAATGTAATTGTAATATATTGCGTTTGCAGATATATATACACATATATAAATAACTAGAAAAAAAGAATATTTTTTGTTTACAAAAAATCTTTAATAGATAATTTCTATAACGATAAAAAATCTTTTTATCAAATTTTTTCTATAAAA